AGGGGGCTGGAGAAGGGGCAGAGGGGCAGCTGCAGGGGGCTGGAGAAGGGGCAGAGGGGCAGCTGCATTAAGGAGCAGGAAGATCTTAGCCATGGTTTATTCATTGACTAAGCCAGAATCAAACAGCATGCTAAACTCTAAGCCAGAATGGCTGGGTTGATATATTCAGCCCATGTTTCTCAACCTTGGCAATTTGTGTGGACTTCAGTTCCCACTCTGGCTTTGCTCTACTAACTTTCTCAAAGTGCCACTGCTGTCACATTCTTTCTTTCTGTCTGTCCATCCATCCGTCCATCCATCCATCCATCCATCCATGACCAGCAAGCCATGCCCAGCCAGCAAGCCACGCCACCCAGTCACGTGACTAGCAAGCCACATCCTCAAATTAGTCCACGCCCACAGAAATTTGAATCCCATCCCTGGGTGGGGGGCACCGAGGATGAGTTTGTAGCACCAAGGGGGCGGTGGACTGAAAAAGTTTGGGAACCACTGATATAGAGCATTCTGTTTTATTATCCTGGGGTATATTTTGCCAAGGGGAAAGTGATGCAGCAAACCCACATGGCTTGTAAAAAAAAATTAGAAGAACTCTGCCAGTATCTTTTCTAACACATTTTATTAAAAAGTAAAAACTTATGTTTTGGCAGTTTAGTTCTTGTTGACTGTGCTGCATACCTGAAAGAAATGTACAAACACCTAAGAACTGTTGTTCAAGCACCTCCAGTACACTAAATATAACTGGAATATCTGTGGAGATCTAAAGGTAGCAGTTCTGGAATGCAGCTTAGATACATCATGTACTGTTGTTACATATGCAAATGGGACAGCCATGCAAGAAAGTTGCTATACACTAAAAAGAAATGGTCATTTTGAAAGAATTTGGTTCCAGGACAGAAAAACATGGAACATGAACCACTTGTTCATCTAATAAAGAATTTTTGGCTCCCCTTCACATCAAACTGGGACTGATAAAAAAATTTGTGCGAGCAATGAAAATGGAAAGTGAAAGTTTTCGTTACCTGAAGCAGATGTTTCCAACAATAACTGATTAAAGAAAGCATTTTTGTTGGTCCACAGATCAGATACACCATCAATGACAAGTGGTTCAAAGATCTGTTAGTGGACTCAGAGAAAATTGCTTGGAAAGCATTCAAGGAAGTCATTGAGAATTTTCAGCTGGTATACAAACTTTATAGCAGGGGTGTCAAACTCATGGCGTCATGTCATCATCATGCGATGTATCGTGACTCTTTACCCCTTTGTTAAACTGGAGATGGGCATGGCCAGCAGGCCACGAGTTTCACACTCCTGTCTTATAGCATACCAGACCATGATATCAACATGTCACTGAAGATTTGTTTTCTGTATTCACACTTGGACTGAAAATCTAGGTGCAGTCAGTCACAAACATGGTGAAAAGCTTTATCAGGACATTGCCACAATGGAAAAACAGTATTAGATCAACTGGAATCCATCAATGCACACTGCAGTGAGATACATCAGACAGAGTACAAATGAAAATCAGCAACAAAACACTTATCATCCTTTCGAACTCATGTTGCATGTCAGAAACATTATATGATTAAATACATTATAGTCATTAAAAGTTAATTTCATATTTCTCAAGATTCCCACATGATATAGTCATTCTGAAATTATATTTGTGTTCAGTTTGAAGTATCATAATCATCAGAAGTTTTTCAGGAAGCAAAGCTTTAAAAAAAAAACTTGTCCAGTACTCACATAAAACTATTCATACAAAAAGTGGTATATATGAGTTGGAGTTCCAGGCAGCTTCTTCTGTGAGTTTTAGAATTATGATTGAATCTTATCAGAGACAGAATCTAACCCAAGCCCATTATCAAAATTGTTTGAAGATTCCAGTCTAGATTATTTGATATGCCCATTAATATTAACTGGCCAAACACGATCAAATATTTTGGCTTGGCAGGGGGAAAAGGTGCTCTTTTTCTGTTTATTTGCTTTAAAATAAAAGTGATGAAAATATTTCTTGTATAATGAAACACTGCCTGCAATCACCGTAGTAAAACAACAAACAAGTGTTTGCTTTGATTACTATATAGCAATACGTTGATTTTAAACATAGGAGGAAAGAAAGAACACCTGTGGAGGACCCCCTAACCCTACCCACCACCAAAATTGCAAAGATACAGAAAATGAATGAAAAGAGAATTTGGAAAAGCCACATGGAAGGCAGTGTAGGAGGAATCCTGGAGACTGAGAGCAAAACCAAATGCAAGTTAAGAAGGAAGAGAAAATGAACGTGAATATTTATTTATTTCACCAGTTTTATTAGCTGTTATCAATTCCCAAAGCAATTCACAGGAGCATTTGTAACATAGTTTGTCAATAGATTATCATTGGAGGCATCTGGCTTAGCTGGTTAAATGTGTTTACTCAGAAATAAGCCTTCTAATATTTAAAGGGGTATCACTTTGGGTATGCACATTTACAAGTTTTTTTTTTTTACTGAATCAAAAGCAATCTCAGTGCAGCTGAACCAGTTTATAGGATGTTTATTTGTAGATGATAGTGCCTTGATAAAACAAACTTTTGGACTTAATGCCTGAGAGTGATCTGGCCCTTTTTCCTGCAGACTTTAAAGGAAATGCACCTTTTAAACTGGGGCCAGCATCTTTTCTGTAGCCAGAAGCTGCATAACTCATAGGAGGTATGGCTGATGAGCCAGCAAGATTACTGGAGTGGCCAGATTGACTTTCTAGTTGTTTCTTGAATACAAATAAGAATATATCTTCAAAAATTGCACCATTGTTAGAGTTACAACAGGAAAGTGTCACAATATATGTGCCATCCCTTTATGTCTTCAGATCAGGGCTGGCATCCAATAAGTTCAAGATAGCCATCTCACACTCACGGTTTAGTTTCGATACCTGCATGAAATAGGGGCCCTGGCCTCAGTGGCGTAGGGATTTCCTAGGAGGACAGTGATTCTATGGCACTTAAGAACAAGGCACGTCGGACTAGTTTTGTATCCTTCCTCTTTTTCTCTCTCTTTTTCTTTTTACAAATATTAAGCTAGTGGATTAGAGGAATGCTATAGCCACTGATGTAATATTTTTTTATTTTATTTTTAATTTTATTGGTTTTTAAAAACAAACATAAACAAAACATAAAAACATCAAGCTATCTTCCATAGGTGTACATACAGTGTGCCGGTTGGTTTACAAATTGTTTTGTGCCACTGATGTAATATTTTAATTTCAGCAAAGCTTTCAGCAAGATCATCCAGATATTTTTCTTGGCAAGCTATAAAATTCTGGTCAGGCAAAGTTGCTCCATGGATGATAATCTTTAATCATGTGTTCTAAAATATGCTAATGGACTTCTAATGAACTCTCTGTACATCATAAGTGCATAGAGCGCATCTGTTTGGAAAATTATACCACATGAAAAGGAATTAACAAAAGGACGAGGTACAAACACATAATATTTATATATTTATTACATGTGTACCTATATTCAAGGTAATATAAGAACTATATAAATAAATATTACATAAGGCAGACAAAAGTGTATAAGCAACCCTCCCAGACTGCTTTCCCACAAAATACAGAATACCATATACTTGTGTTTTCCCATTGATTTCAGTGGGGAAATGTAAACACCTGTCTGACTCTCCTTATAAAAGTCAAGTAAGTCAAGTAACGTAAGAGATTTTGATGTCACTGACTTGAGCCAAAGATTTTTCCCTTTCTCTCTAAAATCAATTACTTTTAAGGTTCTTATTATTTGCTGTTCTTAGATTATCTGGTATACATTTTAACAAATATTGGCAAAGGTTATATATAATAAGGCTTATTCTCAAGAATCACATACTGTAGGGTCCATTTCTTCCATTGCAACCATTTCAGAAGTTCTTGCCACTTACACTTACCTACCTCACTGTTGACCCCTGTCTAGTACTTCCCAGATGTGTCGTCTCCCTTCATCCCAGGCACTATAGGCTAAGAATGGTGGTGCAAATGAATAGCTGCCATTATTATACACTGTGGAAATCTATAAATCAGACTTAAACTGAAAACTATCCCCCTCTTATGACTGCCTCACCAGACCCCTTTTGTATAAACAGGAGGTCATTAAATTGTATTTTAAACATCATGATGATCATCCTAATTTCAGTGCTTTTGAGAGCAAAATAAATAGGCAAATAGAGTTAATTCAGAGACTAGTAATGGTCAGCAAGCTCTCCACATCTATGTTCAGCAACCCCTATGACTGGGATAAATCTCTCTGCAGAGGGAAAGTGAGCTCAGACAAACAATTCACAGGGGGAAAAAATCTTGATAGAACTTAGAGACATTATTTTTATAAGGTGACCGGCCCATATGTGATCATTATAATGTCTCCTGCTTGAGCAAGGGGGTTGGACTAGAACACCCCCAAGGTCCCTTCCAGCTCTGCTCTGATTGATGGGAAGAAGTTCCATGGCAGCATTGCTCCCCATCCATCATGGTGAAAAATTTAAAATAGGGTCTAAGCTCCTCCTGTATAGAGAACAATTTGGAACTCATGCAAAGAAAGAGACAATATTACACAGGGAACCAATAAACACAGAGGAAGAATCTCACTTCAAGCCTCCCATCCCCACATGTGGATCAAGGGTGAAGGCCCAGTTAATAAAGATTTGATGGAGGGTAGTTATCATTGTGTGAGGGGGGAGGAAGCAAAAGAGGTCCATTACTGAATTCAGAGGTATAAAGTGCTGCGTGTGCTGAGCCAGAAGACCTACAGAAGAAAACGAAAACCATCTTCCTTCATCCACTGCAGTGTAAGCAGTGTCCCTGATTTTGCAAAACTGAAGCACTGTTATATCAACATCTCAGTCAACTCAACATTGCTTCTCCTTGCTATTGCTTGATATCTTTCCCTCCAGAATACCCTTGGTATGGACTGGTCCGTGTTTTAGGGCGGGGAATGGAGAACTCCTGTTGAGGCTCAAGGTTCTGAAAAAGGAAGATAAAAGAATTGTAACTTTGATATTATAAAGTAGTACCTATCCCCAAAAGGCAGGCTCTTATTAGTTTACTCTTATGCTCCTGGAGGAGAGGAACGTGAGGAACCTATAAAGAGTGGACCTTTCTCCTTCAAAGACAAAGTGGCAGTCTTTACTATCTCATTAAATATCAAGAAGGAAAGCCAGAGCTTAGATATTTAACCATGAATTGGTCAAATGTAGAATGCTTTGTACTAGATGGCTAGCTTATGCAGCCTATCTCTAAACTGAAGAGAAACAAAATTCATAGCAGGTCCAAGAACACCCTTAATGACTGTTTAGGTATGCTAAGAAATGGCACGTTTATGGAGATTCTCAGTCATCCAGGTCATGGTTGTCCCAAAGGTTGTTTTTCAAGAGGCAACTGGACTTTTTGGTTTTTCTTTGAAGATGTTTTGCTTTTCATCCAAGAGCGAAATATCTTCAAAGAAAAAAACAGAAAGTCCAGTTGCCTCTTGAAAAAGCACATTTGGGATAAGAAATGGCACTTACTTATCATTTGTTTGCCTTCAGTAGCCTCCATAGCACCAACACAATGCTTGCTCTGCTATCGTTGGTGCTTTGGAGGCTGTAACGAAAATGCTGAGCTTGGTGAATTACTACATAAAGGTCTATCGGTATAAGTAGGATTGCCATATTTAGGCATCTAAACATCTGGATTGACCAAAAAATATCAGTAACATTAAGTTACCATCTGGTAATTACTGACATTTTTGTAACCTATTTTTGTAACGTATTCTGTGGGCAATATCTGATGTTATAAGCCTAATCAAATCACTTGTACTAGGTCCCAGAATCAATTTTTATCAAGTATTTTACAAGCACTTTAAAGCTTTTTACAAACACTTTACTTTTTTTCTGCTCGGGAAACTGTTCATCTTCACAAAAATATTACCATAACTAGTTATCACATCAAAAGCGACTTATTAACTACTAAGTCTATATGAATATCACCCTTTTTCCCAGATGTCTAACTTTCTAAGTATGTTAAACGTACCTCCTACAACCCTTGATTGTTACACTAATGAAAGAAAAATTGTTTTATTTACCTTCAGTTGAAAATGAGTTGAATACGGGACATATGAGTCAGTATTTTCTTCTGGAACGATGAAAGAGATGCAAGAGGGCAAAAGGCAATGAGTCTTAGAATTACTATACAGTAAATAAATAAATTTAGTTTGGTTCAAAATAACAATGTTTAGCATGAATACTTATGCCAGCTTTCCCCAATCTGCCATGCGCTACATGTCCACTGAAGCAAATAAACAAAAATAATAATTTATTGGGACTATAGCTTCAGAATTCCCAAGAAGCTTCAAAATGACAGGCAAAATTGAGCAATCAAAGCCTCACCCCTTTTTAACATCTATTGTTCACATTGCAGGGATATAAAAAGAGCCACATCAGTCATTTTGAAGCCAGTTGACATTGCTGTGAATGCTCAATTCCTAGTACATTTCAAATGTGCCATCTCAACACCTCTAGGTTTCACTAGGTCAAAAAAGGTCATTTTATATTATTTTTGGAATCTCTATTTCTATTTTTGGAATCTATTCTTAAAAAGAGTTATAAAGAATGTATGACCATTTGGCAAAATGAGTCACATGCCATCTCCTAGGTCCTGGGATTCCTCCTCCACACCCCACAATGCCATAGCTTCAACCTAACCAATTTCCAGGGCTTGCCAGCTAATGTGGAAAATGTCCCTTTCACCAGTGGTGGGATTCAATTTTATTTACTTCCGGTTCTGTGGGTGTGGCTTGGTGGGCATGGCAGGGGAAGGATACTGTAAAATCTCCAGTCAGAGGTGGTATTTGCCGGTTGTCCAAACTACTCAAAATTTCCATTACTGGTTTTCCAAAACTGGTCAGAACCTGCTGAATACCACCTCTGCCTTTCACCCTCTTTCTTGCTGCAAATCAAATGGGGTGAGATGATGAAGAGGTTTGTAGGCATATCTCAGGTTGAAATAGCAATAGCAATAGCACTTAGATTTATGTACTGCTTCATAGAGCTTTACAGCACTTTACAGAGTCAGCACATTGCCCGCCCCCCCCCCAACAATCTGGGTCCTCATTTTATTGACCTCGGAAGGCTGAGTTAACCTTGAGCAGGTCAGGATTGAGCTCCTGGCAGTGAGCTGAATCAGTCTGCAATACTGCATTCTAACCACGGCACCACCACAGCTAACCACAGGAATGTTGATTGTCAATTATGAAGATTTTATAGCAAAAAAATATTGTAAAATAGTGATGAGTAAATAGTGATAGGTGGATGGAAGTGTTCTAGGAGTAGACAATCCCATGGGATATTTGGAGGCAGGACTTGCATATACAGTAAATCTAAAATCTTCCTCATTTAGTCCAACTCTTGTTGCACATATGCAATTCATAAGATATTCTTGTTTGTATTGAAATAAGGAGGAATGATTAATTCTTGCAAAGGATTCTTGCAAAACATCTTTGTTATTGATGCTTCTGAACAATTTTAGATATCCCAACTCCTCTTTAAGCAAATGAAATATTTAGACAGTCACAATGTGTATGTGTCACAAATTTATCTTTTCATGCTAACAAAAGGTTCAACTAAAGCCTTTCAAGCAGTTCAACAAATAACGTTTTAATTAAATTAATTCTGGTTACAGATTAGTTTATCAGAGAAATTTTTAACAAAGTTGCATATTTCAATTAGTGGATTGTTCAATTAAAATCTTGGCAGATTAATAAGCAGATAGGTTTTAATTGATGAAACCCTGCGTAAAATTTTAATGTGCTTTTCACTGTTTATTAAAATAGCAAAAATGATGTTCTCTTATGTTATAGAATGGTGTATTTCTAATACACGAAAAGTTATTAAGCAATTTGTTTGATGAATCAAGATACATAAGGGTGCTTAATTTATTACTGTTTTCTTCTTCTTCATCATCATCATCATCTCAAAAAAACCCATTATAGAATAAAGGCCTTGTTGTGTATACTTAAAGATTATTAATACATCCAGTAGTTGAACCAATGCTTAATGATCAATCAATTTACTGTATATGTTATTCATCAGTAATGTTAGCTTTTTGAATAATATTATGAATCTTTTGCTTGAAGCATTTTCTTTCAGCTAGCATTTTCTTTTCATTGGAATATATTAGTTGTTCTTACCTTGTGTGTTGTCTTCCTGAGCATAACCTTGATTTTCTATTCCATAGGTTTTTTTCATGCCCTTTGGCTGGCAAGTATTATTCTCCAGAGGGTAGTCTCCAGGTTTCCGTGGAGCAGTTAGGACACAGAATTCAGGTATTGCATACAGAAACAGGAAAATCCAGCCATTTACTATCAGAGCCATACCAATGAGAAGATCATCAGCTAGCCCTAAAGCACTGGTATTATACATCAGGGTAGCAATCCATGCCACCCAAATGCCTATGGAGAACAAAGCTGTGAAGAATAAGTGGATACCATGCCTCTTCCACCTCTTGTATGAGCCACAAAACACAAACATGGAAACTATGCAAAGGAGAAACATCAGGAAAAATACATAGATGAGAATTAAAATAAAGTCTCTTCGTCTTTCGTCATCCATCACACCGCGTAGAGCCTTCAAGGCCTTGATATTGACTGCTACATATTGTACGGCTATAATCACTTGTACAACAGTCAAACCAAGGACCATAATCAGCAACGCTAGTGCTGAAAATGGACGTCTTCCTCTCACCAACTTGATGAGGTCCAAGGCATGAGCCAGAAGGCAGGAAAAGCAGAGGGCAAAGAGGACCCCGAAAAGGAAGAAACGTGTGGGACCGGTTTGCTCATTGAGCTTGATGATAAAAGCAAATGTGAGCCCAAAAATTCCTAGAGTACCTAAGAGGAAGAGAAACTGGATTGGGATCAGGCTACGTTTTGCATTGTCTTGGGCTTTACTGATAAGGAAAAAAAGCACCAGAATGAGGATGATTGTGACAGTTGCACCAGCTGCTGCTAGAGCTTCCAGAATAATTCCCCAATAAGCTTTGGTATTACAGAGCAAATAGTAGTCATCCTGTATGTTGCCACAGCCTGGGGGTACAGTAGTAGTCATGGCACTTCAGGTGACTTATCTTAAAAGAAAACCTGTAGGAAATAAGGCAAATTTTGGGTTATAAATATGTTAAAAAACAGACCAAGTTAGTTCAAAGTTCAAACCTTTATTGTCAATGCATAACATGTGTACAATGAAATTGAATGAGCCGCCTGTCATATTAAATCTGGTTGTGGTGTTGTGTTTCATTTAAAAGTATAACAGCCCATGGATAAAAGCTATTTTCATCCAGTGGGGTTAGGGGGCAGCCCATGATTTTTTGTGTGAATCAAGTACTTTCTTATTTGCTTCACGTGAAAATATAAAATGGCCTTATCCCAAGTTAGATCACTGATTTTCTTAGCCCAACATCATCTGTTCGGATTGGGGACAGTGCTGGGGCATAGAATCTGGATCCAATAATGGGATGGAGATAGGTCAGTTAAACTGAGATTAAGAAATCAAACCACAGGAAAGGCCCTTACTGCAATAAAAAGGCACATCTTTTTATGAACTCCATATTTTTCTACATAGGAGAAGAAATAGGAAAAACACTACAAGGGTCTCTATAATTTAAGAACAACCCGATCCATCAAACACCAGGACTTTATTGTAAACGATAATCTATTTTTTTTCTGAAGGAGCAGCAGCAGCAACCCCTATAAACAAAGAGGGCAGTGGCAGGCAGAGACATCCAGGGCAGATAAATAACGAAAATGGCAGGTGTGTCTAAGTAATCAAAGCCCCACCCTTTTTTATATGCATGAGATGCATGCAAAACATGTATAAATAGGAACAGGGTTTGGAACACCTGGTTACACCTGCCACTTTAACCTAATTGATCCCATAAACAGAGATGCCCCTGTGGGGGAGGGAAAATATCAAAATGGCAGGTACAACTGTGTGCGACCTTTGGACAAAATGGGTGGGGCTTCAATCACATGGTCATGGCTGACATCTTGATTTTTTTAACCCCTCCTGAAATTCAGCAGCAATCTACTGAAAAATGGAAATGTGATATCCACTGTTAGGCACAAGCATAACAGATCTAGGTAGGCTAATACTGATAACAATACAAAGAATATAACTCAGTCCCCTCACACACAAATCCTCTCCAAAATCACAGCCCAACTTTGTTATATTAATACATTGTCAATCCACAAATTACGGTTCTTTTTTATCTCTGTTGTATTAAAAATGATTGTGGTTTGATCCTTGCTACATTTTGATAGAAAGCAAACTGGTTAACAGAAGCAGATCAGTGTCTATACTTTAAATTTGGTACCTCCCACACTCTCAAGTTCTGAGTTATACAATCCTGATGGCGTTACATGGCAACAAAGAATATTTATTTAGTTATTATTATGATTGTATGTCACTTTTTTCAGTAATGGAAGGTGGTCTACAATGATACATTTTAAAAAACCAATAAAATGTTAAATGCTTGAAATGTTAAATCTTGGACAGAATCAGGGTGGGCAATCTGCGGTCTTTCATAAAATTCACTCTTTATAACTCCTGTGTAAGAGGGAGGTCTTATCCAGTTTTCTAAAAGATGAAAGAAAGGGAAGAGGTAGCCCAGTCTCCAAGGGGAAGCTGTTGACAGGGACCAGGCTGCCATTAAGCATGCCATTTTCTGGGTTCCCACCCCTAAGCTTTCTAGGGGCCAAGAACTGCTCCATCTTTTCTTGTCAGATTGTCTAACATTCTACCTGGAGAAGATGGTCACACAAGTCATATAGTGTTTTGTTTGAAAAAGCTTTTGGCAAGTATAGGTGTCCCCAAATCAGTGTTACTCTGGACACCTCCTTACTTGAGACTGGAGCTACATCATGCCTCGCTGTGCTCCCGGGACTTTTTTTTTTTTTTTTTTTAGATCATTTTGGGAAATAAACATAAACAAAATTACCGTGAAAGATCCAGGCTTCAATGAATGCTATAAAATTATCTAATAAAGATTTCTCTATTAGAAAAGATCTTCTACCATTTCCAGTCTTCTCTTTATCCAAGCTATTCAGTGAAAAGTTTCTGAAAAATAGGATATTTTACCTTCCCAATAATTGTATAAAAAGAAGATAAAAGAGAAAATAATGTAACTTGTTAAATATCACCAGTGGAAAACCTCTTGCTGAGCCTGAATGAATCCTTGTCTCTCCCTAGGACAGTACTCTCTTCTATCCATTAATCCTTACAATAGTCTAAAATGGTTTTCAGAAGCTGAAATATGAAAAGTTCTTAAAAACTTTGCTGAACCTATATTACATCTCTATTAAACTAGGCATATCAGGTAAGGGACGCAATACAACAAAATGCCTTTGGTAAGCTTGAGAGAGAGATCCACCCTTATTGTTCCAGTTACTAGGATTAGTGTACTCTACTGCTCCCATAATTAAGCTTTGGCATGGACTTACCTTGACTGTGATCTGGTTCAGAGGAGAAGAGTTGTTGTCGACAGCAAAGGAATATGCCTGCACTGCCCACCTGAAAAATACTCTGTTCTTGCTGCTTTTCTGTCCTTGCATGGACAAGCAAAGAATTGCTCTCACACTCTCCTGGGAAGCTTTAAAAGCAAATAGAAAAAACAGGGGGGATAAAGGAGTTAGGCACGCCTATTCCAGTTCCACTACTCCTGGTGCTGTTATAAATATAACATTCTAGTGCCAGGAGATGAAGTCAAATTTCTGACGTCAACTGGCTATCCTATCCCAGTCCTATGGCTGGGTGGAGAAGGAATCTTTGACTGGCTCACCTCTCAACAGACTCTACTGCCATTGATCCAGTCAGCCAATAATTTCTATCAGCTAGAGCTTGAGAAACCTAGAGTGTGTGGGACAAGGAGATCCCTCAGCCTTAGATAATACTTTTGTGTGCTTTTTTTGTGCAAAAATAATGTCTGTGTGTAGTAGATTCCTACTTTCTCCATTGTTCTGTGTGGTCTTGGAGCAGAAGTTGGTCATGCCTACACATTTTCAGGAATTTCCTGGTTTTGCTTCCTTAAACTAGTATGGGAACAAGATTGGGTTCTTTTTCTTCTTCTTAGGATAGAGTGCTAGTTTAGCCCTCCAGATCATCTAAAAATAAATATACTATATGTAACAGATGTTACTATGCTCTGTGTTCGAACATTTTATTTATGATGGAAATTAAGAGAATTGTATATGCTGTTGTACATTCTGTGCCAATGTGGAAAGGGGATGTGACCCCCAACACTGGCTGTGAAATTCATGTTTTCTTATTGTGACAAAAACAGTCTCCTTATGTGAAATTTGGCCTGGGAATGCAGGTCTTTACATTTGTAATTCTAGGTTTTTGACACAGACTCTGTTTGATTTGCAAAAGGCATCTTGTTATTGCTAGAGCATGTGTCTTTTCCCAGTTCTCACTCAGAATACAAAATATAGGAGAACCAACAGTTTTGGCATGGAATGGTTATTGGATCTATGGGTTATTGGAACAATTTAGCTAAATTTTGATCTGATAGAGTTTAGTTATAGATTTATAATAATATTTCCTAATCTGAGCACCTACTCAGGTATTCCAAAGAAAGATACATGATCTAACTAAGTTGCTAAGAAAGTTGCTCTGAAAAGGTTGGGAGGATTGACACAGTAAAAAAATGAATCTCCTGCCTGTAGGTTGTGATTTTTTTTTAGTCAGGATTACTTTCCTTTGTGTGTTTATGGAAAGGAAAGTATATTGTTGTTATTTGTGCTAGAGTGTCACTATGTTATTTTTGTATTATTTGTAAGTATGGAACCTTTTTAATAAATGTACAATCCTTGTTCTGGATCTTCTCCAAAATATATATTTCATCCAAATCAGCTGCAATAGAACAGGATAAATGTAAAATTCCTTTTCTGGCCTCTGTGGTCTCAAACTGATTATGGCTGCTCCCACATGCTATTTTCATTTTTTTTAAGGAAATAACTTACTACATATTTTAAGTGTATGTCAGTACATTGCATATGTTAGTTAGTGGGATGTAGGCACTTTGAATTACAAAGCAGCTGCTAGATTAGAGATCCTAGTTTGCATAGGATAGCATAAGCATGTTTGAAGTAACACTGGATTTGGGTTGTAGTTGCAGGTCATAGTGGCCAAAAAAATCCCAAACAATCTAACCATTATTGGCTTTATTGGTAGCAAGGAATGCTGCATGTGGCACAGGTATGATCAAGGCTAGTAACTTAATTTTACTTTCTCTATATTATTAAAAATATTACATCAAATACTGAATTGAACAAAACCATGAACAAAACCAGCGTATGGAAGGGCACAGCCTGGAATGTAAGAAGACTAAATGGTAAAAACAGTAATTAACTAATGAAATTAACTAACCAAGGACAGAAGCAACCTAAACTAAGGAGAAATTTCTTGACAGTGAGAACAATCAACCAGTGGAACGGCTTGCCTTCAGAGGTTATAGGTGCTCCAGTACTGGAGGCTTTTAAGAAGAGATTGGCAAACATTTGTCTGAAATGGTATAGGATCTCCTGTATCTTGAGCAGGGGGTTGGACTAGAAGACCTCTAAGGTCCCTTCCAACTCTGATGATGATGAAATAGATGAGAGAAAAACAGATAGGTTGGGTTTCCATGAAATTAAAAAAAGGAGAGGCTTGTAATAGAACTGAATAAGGTGATCTGGTTTTGCTGAGTACAGTTAATTAGTATTCCTCCATATACTTAAATGTAACATAGATTTAGTTATGAAAAAGCAGAGATAAAAAAGATTGCACAGTGTTCCAAATGAACATGATCCATGGCACAAAGTTAGATGACATGAATGGATGGATTGGAAAAAAGATGAAGTAGAACTGACCAAAAGAATAAATAAAAAAGGTGACTACAAAGTATCTGTTTATAAAAAAGTCTGCTTCTTTCAAATATGTCAATGTACCCATGGTAAAAGAATGAATATAAATCTGGAAGCATTATCAATGTGTTATTTTATGATGAAAAATTGAAAGAATTAATGAGGGATAGTAAGGTGATGAGATGTTCTGAATGTAGAGCAAGACATTTTTGGGTATTGTTAAGAGCGGACCCTGGAGGGAAATTGATATGGAAGGAAATAAATAAAAGAAACTAAAATGAAAGTGGAATGCCCCGAGGAAAAGAAACTATGAGGTTGAATGAACAAGTATTAAAAGATAAATTGATTTTCCAGTAGAATGAATGGAAAGTGGATGCCAGTGAGAAGGCTGAAAAAGGATGTATGGGGATAAAAGAAAAAATAATGCATATCAGAGAATGGTTGCTGCAAAAAAAAATGAGCATAAGAGAAACATGTTGTATAATATAAATAGAAAAATAAAAATATAGCTTCAAGGAATGTAATCAAAAAGAGAAATTAACAGTTAAGATTAAGAAAGGCAGAGAAAGTTCAGAGTTTTACAAAAATTTAAAAACATTCTGGAAAGGGGGGGAAGACAGCCAAATAAGGAATTTCCAGCATAACAAATGGAATTAAAAGCAAAAATGATTACATTATTCGGGTGAAACAAAAGTAAGAGAATATTGGAAGTCTGTATAGAAATGATAATGATATTTGAAACAGTAGAACTGAAATGAATGTCATAAATGTTGGTTCCCAAGAAAGGAAATGATAAAAAGGACATCGTAAATACTCTGAGGATTTTGAAAACTGGTAAAGTTGTGAGAGTAGATGTTATAAGAAATGTGACAATACAATTGGTTTATCGAGTGTTTGTGTGACTTAATGAGCGTGCAAAAACTGTGTCTGTGCTGAAAATTGGAAGAATACTATTACTATTCCTGTATACAAAGAAAGTAGCAAAAGTGAAAACAAAATAAATGGGGTCTTAGCACTGATGATGTTAGCTAGTTTGGGTAATGAAACATCTGCAAGTAAACCAGCTGGTACATAGAGCATCAAGGACCCTCAAAGGGATCTTAGCTTGTTAAATGTTCCCAGACTAGTATTTGCCAGAGTTTGACTAAATTGAAATGACCATGAGAAAAGTTTGGGGAGTAATGGAGCTTTTTGCTGGGCATGTAAACCTACTTTTAAATCTTATGGGTAATAGAAAATGTGTAAATATGAAGGTGTTTTACATGTGTTTGTGAGCTTGTATGTGTGTACGTAATAAAATGAATAGCTTTGAATTGTAGAATATTTTAGGTGGCTATTAAGACTGATTCGAAGTAAAGTCAGCATATTATCAGATGGAATGTTTAGTAAAGAGAAATGGAACACAGTAGCCAGTCACTACTGCAAAAGAAGTTGAGGTGCTCTGCATTACTTCGTTTACCAAAAGTGAATAGCATGATGAATATGTGCATATTTATGAGCTGTCTCAAATTATCAGTAAGTGAATGAATTATCATTCATTCACTTACTTACTGAGAATAGCAACTAATATAGTCCAGAATAATGATACGTCTTGAATAATTAAGAAATAAATTTGCTCATTGATCTCTACAATGATGTGAATTGAGAGTTGAGAATAAGAGGGAAAAGAGACTTTATTTGATGAATTTTCAAAGAAAACACAGCTCAGCAATCACAGAAGGGGGTCCCGAAGAGCTCAGGACTCTTCCTCTTCCTGAACAGAGGGAAGGGAACACGCTGTAACTGCCACTTGCACACAGCTTGGTGGAGTATAAGTTGTGCAAAGCTAGTTTCAACCTACGTAGGGAGTGACTTTGCTCATCCCTTTGGAATGCATTCAACTAAAGTAAGGGTTTGGGGCCAATTGGCTGGAGACCAACTATGCCTCTTTCATTTCTGCTGCTAAGTTATTTATAAAGTATGCCTTAATGACATTAAGGAAACACCCTTTTTATTTCTTTTAGTAGGAATTTAGGGGAGGAAGAAAACCAAATTTAGATTTCAGAAAATCTTACAAACACTTATATTCCCTAAGCAATTAGATATATCGTTTTTTTTCAAAGTGCCCTTCTTTCACCCTTCCCATAGTTGACAGGAAATTGCAAATCTTTTGATATTCCCGTCACTGCTTCTTTAACACATGTTTACACTGAGGAACCACTCCTTTCAGCAAACAAACACCAAATGAATCATTAAACTAAAGGATGGACATATAAACTGAAGGCAAGTTCTCCATATCCCCCTCAGTTTTTAGAACATAGAATCATAGGGCTAGAAGGAACCTCAGTGGTCTTCTAGTCCAACAGTCACTAACTGGTGGTCCATGGACCACTGGTGGTGCATGAGAAAATTTTGGTGGTCCGCAGAAAAATTATTTGCATTTTTTATATTGAACTAAATACCATGTAGGAACACAGTGGCTCAGTGGCTAAGACGCTCAGCTTGTTGATTAGAAAGGTTGGCAGTTCAGCGGTTCGAATCCCTAGCATTGTGTAACAGAGTGAGCTCCCATTACTCGTCCAAGCTTCTGCCAACCTAGCAGTTTGAAAGCATGTAAAAATGGAAGTAGAAAAATAGGGACCACCTTGGTGGGAAGGTAACAGCGTTCTGTGCACCTTTGGCATTTAGTCAGGCCAGTCACATGACCACAGAGATGTCTTCAGACAGCGCTGGCTCTTCGGCTTTGTAATGGAGATGAATACCGCCCCCAGAGCGGAAACAACTAGCATGTATGTGTGAGGGGAATCTTTACT